AAAAATATAAAAAAACAATTTTATATATGTAGTTTTCTCATAATTCTCATTGTGCCTAGCTATTTGATGTCATTAAAATACTGGATGACCTTGGAAATTGAATGAGGCAATGTGGTTGTCCCCGTCTAGACGCTCCTGGTGGTGTTACTGGTAATATTTAGTAAATTAACTGTAAAAAGACGCCAAATATTTTCAATTTTTGCAAATTTTACAAATTCAGTGAAGCTGGCTTAGCTGTAAAAATAATTATTCGTGGAGGAAGTCTACAGGTAAAGGCAATCCTACATTTTTCACTCGAACTGGAACGAAATCAGAAACATATAGTCGACAATTTGGCCGGGCAATTAGGCAAAATGTTTACTTACAAACTACAAGAAAACTTCGCTTTAGGGGTGTTAGAGGATAATGCCCAAAGTGATTTCCTCCTCCGAAAGGAGTTTTATAACTTTGCTATAACAGATAAGCTCGCTGCCGAGTGGCATAGTGTGAAGGCTGCCATTTAGAACTGTTCTGCTGGCGGCGGTGGTGCAGCCGAGTGACTGCGCTGCTAACGACGGGAGTGCGCTGCTAATCGCCATTTCAGCGCTACTGCGCCGTTCGTATAAATTCCTCCATTTAAACCTATATCGTCATGCCTACCCAATTGGCAACGAAGCTGCCATCAAAATTAGGATACGAAATTGTATGTTTTGATTTACTTGAGATTCCTGTTACTTTCGTTAAACAAAAATATCGAAAACTTTCAGAAGAAATTAGACGACCTGGAAAACAATATCGGGAGGATGAGCAGCAAACTTATCGTTGCTGGCGATTTCAACGCCAAAGCTATCGAGTGGGGCATGCCACCAGACTCGAGAGGTCGGCGGAGAATGGAAATGGCCTCGAGGATAGAACTGTGGGTATTGCACATTGGGGACACATCTACATTCAGACACCCAGGGAGACGATACCTGATGTATCATTTGCCACTATGGAATGATGGAGCAGGTGCAGGATTGGAAAGTGGCTAAAGAGTATACCGCTTGTGACCAATTCATAACCTACCTCGTGCGCCCTGACACACATCATCAATCGCTTTGACCTCTTAGCAACAAAAATAGAATGCGGCGAAACTGGATGAAGATGGTTTGGCCCACGTAATGACAAGCCGAGTTGAAGTAGTGCCTATAAATACTGCGGGCGTGAGGGAGCGCAACACGCCGAGAACAGAGCTAACTCCACCAGGGTGAGTGATACACGTGGAAGCTTATTGAGCGCGCATGTAAGGCGGCGATGCCACGGAAAGGATCACGGAATAACAGGGCGCCGGTCTAGTGATGGAACGATAGCAGGGTTAGGGAACAATTGCCTACAATTAAGTCGTAGGGCCCAAAGGGTCAGGGAAAGCGAGGATGCTGAAAGGATCTCCGCTGACCAGCACACTGGATAGAACGCTCTCCAGAAAGCAATCAAAGAAAGCAAAATTCGTAAATGTCAGAATACAATAAAGGAAATAAACAACGATCGGCTACAAAATTGTGATGAAGAAATTCGAATGCCTGCCGAATATTGTTCTGGGCACGACGACAATGGAGAAAATTCTGAATGTACTATTCCCCATCCACCCGGAAACATTCGACCCCAAAAATGAAGTACCACCCGGCGATGTCCTGTTCTTCACCGAAAGTGAGCATTTACAGGAGGTAGAATCCCTTAAAACAGAAAAGCACCAGGGCCCGGCTGCATACTGACCGAAGCGCTGAAGGCAGCGCACAAAGCAAGCCCTGGCTTGATGCTAGACATGTACAACGACTGCCTGAAGCATGGCACCTTCAGCTCTCGATGGAAGACAGCAAAACTGACCCTTATCAGTAAGGGAAATGGAGAAAAAATTCGCCGTCATCATACAGACCACTGTGCATGAAAGGTACGGCTGGACAGGTATTCGAGAAACTGATCCAACCTCAGATACTGAGGGGAAAAAAAGAAGCAGGGGGGCTGTCTCATCGGCAACACGGATTCCGAAAAGGACACTCCACTATCCGCGCAATTGCATTGGTAGTCGACATAATAGAGAGGGCCCAGTCCGGAAATCACCGCTCTCGGAAACTCACGCTACTTGTTATATTAGACGTCAAGAATCCACTCAACTCTGCCAGGTGGAGTGACATACTGAATACACTCTAGAAAAGATTTAGGCTATCAGCGTTTTTGATGCATGCTATGAAAAATTATCTTAAGGATCGTACACGCCTGTAGGATACAGATCAAGGGCGACGAATCAATGCACCGTCAGGAGAAGTTGCACAATGATCGATCGGAGGAACGTACCTGTGGAATAGACGACGATCTCCTGAGAACGGAAATGCTCAGAGACACGGAACTCGTCGGATATGCTAACGATGTGGGAGTGTTCATGACAGCTCATACTATTGAGGAAGCACAGCATCACCTAAACGAAGCAATGCGATGCACACAAAGATGGATGAACAAGCACTATCTGTTCCTTGCATAAGAAAAGAACCAAATCATTGTATTCACAAGGAAACGGATACCGATGCAAGTCACATTTAAGGTCGGAGACACAAACTTCGAAACAACATCAAGTACAAAGTACCTAGGGCTATCGCTTGACACGAAGCTGAGTTACTGGCCTCATATACAGCGGACATCAGATAACGCCGATGAAGCGACAATAGTGCATTCTTGGCTATCCGGAATGAGCCGCGTCTCGGTCAATTGTGCTGACGTTTCGGCCATCTTGCTGAGGCCTTCTTCAGAGCTATACTGCTGCCAAGAGGTTGGCATGTCTCATCTTATAGGAAAAGCGCGTGGGCCGACTGGGTGCATCGGCGGCCAATAGGAGGAGGGTGGGTGTTCCGTGATTGGCGGAGAAGGAAAAGGGCGATGGCGGGCGACCACATGAGATGGGGGAGGGGGAGTGGGACGTAAAGGTAGATAATAGAAAACTGAACAGGATAGACACCTGGAAGATGCATTTGTGTGAAGGAGAACGGCGGAAAAATCGAAAAAAGAACGGTCCAAAGGGCGATCATTGTTTTGGCCGTCCGCGGGGGGGGGGTCTCCGTGGGGCGGGCGGCAACCGCCCGTCTCCAGGTGTTGCTAAGACGGAGCCCATCATCTCTATTGAGGCTAGCGGGCCTCCTAGAGATTTCCAATGCCTCTTTGATCAAACGAGGCCACCACCGGTCTTCTGTTGTTATGGTGCGGGTTTCGTTGTAATTGACAAGGTGACCCGTTTCCGCGGCGTGTTGTGCCAAGGCCGATTTGTGGAGTTGTTGTGGGCCGATGTTGAAGCCGGTCATGTCGCATGTGCTCCCGCATACGCTCTTCTACGGTGCGCCCGGTTTGTCCGTTGTACACTAGACCACAGCTGCACGGGATTTCGTAAACGCCAGCTGTTATATCCAAAAAAAGAACAGTGATTTCTAAAACTGTTTTTTATTTCCACAAGCCAACAAGAGATTCACTAATACAAGCCAGGTCGAACCACTTTCGGCGGCAACTTCAAAGGTGCGTGTTCGCCCATATCACCAGCATCTTGAAGAGGGTCCAGACGATCCTTTACTTGTACCAGGCTCCTCCCGATCTTGTTGCGAGCGTGAAACACGGGGCGGATATCAGCTCTGCGCAGCAATCTACCGATCTTGTCTGTGACTCCTTTGATGTAAGGCAATCGAGCTGTCTTGCGGGGTGGGCTGGAAGTTTCGTTTCGTGCATTCGAGGTGGTAGAGTGGTAAAATACACTTATAAAGGTGTCAATGGTCCCATTTTCAGGGGAACTCTGAACTTTCGAAAATTGAAAAAAATTGAAAATTTTCAGGTGTACATACAAAATTGAAGGTAGAGATTTTTCCATCAAATAAAATTTGTTCCCAATAGTAAGTTCTTTGATTAAGATCATGTACATGTTTTTTAAAAATTTTAGTAGGTTTCGCGCAATATTTGCAGTTTAAAAAAATAACAAAAACAAGATTTTCTCAAAAACGGCTCCAATTTTTTCTTTACTTTTTTGATAGATATAGTGCTTGTACTCTATGAGATACATAAACATCAGTTTGCTCTATTTTATTTTTTCAAAAATTACAAAAATTAATCTTTTAAAATTGTTTTTAAAATTTCGTCGTTAACGTCGTTAATATTTACATTAGCGGCGATTTGTTCTCATTATTATATTTATGTGTACATGTGCTCTAAATAATGTCATATAAAGTTTCTCAAAAACAATTTTCTATGAAAAGTAGCTCAAAATTCCGCATTTTCCGAAAAGCTCAAACGCCATTTTCTCAGAAAACGGCTCCAAATTTTTTCTTCAAACTTTTCAAAGCGATAGTGCTAATTGCACACTTTAATATGTCATAAAATTCATTTTGCTGTATTTGTTTGCTTTTTAAAATTACTCAAATGTAATTTTTTTTAAAACATCTTTCACGCCGTTAATATGTACATTTTCAGCCATTTGCAAACACTATTGTATTCGTGAGTTAGCGTGCTTCAAAAAAAGGATTTCAAGAAGGGAACTCAAAACTTTTCTGTGAAAAGAGTTTCAAAATTCGAATTTACAATAGCGTTTAAACGCCATTTTCTTAAAAAGGCTCCAGATTTTTCAAAGAAAATCATCATATAGGACGAGGTTTTACGGTTCATTAATATTCTTAAAATAAGATTTCCGTTCTACTTTTAGGAAACCGAAAACTTAACACTTTTTTAAAGTACTTTAGCGGCGATAGATGGTAAGAGTATGTGGCAAGTCCGAAAAGCTAGCAGAGACCAAAAGAAATAGAAAACTAAAACGGGAACGTCTGTGCCATTGTGTTGCACCACTAGTTTCTAACGTTAACGAAAATCTGGAATTCTCTCATTGTCAAGTCCAAGAGTATTTCGTTTCTCTTTCTCTCGTAATAATATCGTATTGCGAAAAAGAAATGATTAAGACTAACGATTAGATGACCTATCCTCACGACCTCAAATCTATTTCGTCACGAATGTTGTAACGGCGTTCAATGTGTGTCAGTCTGAAGAAAATGTTGGAAGCGGCAATTTCGTATGAATTAATCTTGCCTATGTATTGTGGATTTCCGAGTCTATTCATTTCTGTGAAAAATATATTTAAAAAACTGTTTAAAGGTGTTAGTGGTCTGAAATGACCGATTAGTAGCTAATTTCAACAGATTTATTTCCTCTCATTTGGAATTGAGAGTGCAGGGTCGGAAAAAATTGTGAAGACGTGAAAGTCCTGAAATAAAGTTGTGTGAGGCTTTGCTGTTTTTGCCTGTGTCTTGCTTGAATCTTCGTATAATTGTCCCATTATTACTCAACATGGAGAAATACGTATCAAAAGCATTTTTGCCCAGAGGTGCAGTAATTTGGCAAAACAGTAGATTGAAACATGTAAGTTTCACTGAGAATAATTATTTATGTTGTATTTATTTTATTTTAATAACATTTAGAAAATATATATAAAACACAAAATAATTTATTGGATACACATCAACTACATATTTTGTATAAATTTAAAAGGGAGGTATATATTTTATCAAAATAAAACATATAACTATTTTACTTATTTGACCTGATAAAAATGTAAGGATGAAAGATATTTTCAACTAACGATTATTAATAATTAATGATTTTTTATAGAGTTCTGTTAGAGGTAAAGTAATTGCTATCAGACGAGAAGATCAGTCAGTATGGGAACGTCGAGCTCCACTTGCACCAACTAATGTGCGTCGCCTTACCCGAGCTGGAGTAAAAGTAATAGTACAGCCATCAAACAGAAGAGCTTATCCAATGCAGGTTTGTGAAATCTCAAATTAACGCTTATTTTAGAAGAAATGTTGTAATGTTAAATAAGTACAACTTAAAAATTGCCATTTTCTTATTGTACGTGCAAATTTATCTTACTATGATGAAATTGTTTAATGCAATTGTATAATAAATTTCCAGACATATTTATCAGCAGGTGCTGTAGTACAAGAGGATATTTCTGAGGCTTCAGTAATATTTGGAGTTAAACAAGTTCCTGTTGACCAGCTGCTGCCAAACAAAACTTATTGCTTGTTTTCTCACACTATTAAAGCTCAAGAGGCAAACATGCCACTACTTGATGCAATTTTAGAAAAGGTAATGGAAGGAAAAGAATGTAACTTGCATTTTTCTCTTATATTGTGAATATTATATTCATATTTTTATTAATATCTGTAATGAAATTATTCTTTAAAAAACATACAATACTAATACAGCAAATTGATAAAAGTCACATGGAAATAACGATAATGTTTACATATACATTTCTATTTATGAATATACAACTATAGAAAATTCGCCAGTCTCCACTCACAATCCTTTTGGGTGTTTTCTTCATCCAACTGTTATAATTTCTCATTCTCCTGGTCCTACTGCAGCATTTTATATCATCTCTGGTTTCTGCCTGCTCTTAATTCTTTTTCCTAAATATTAGTTACTGTTTCAGTGTTATAGTAAACATGTACAAACAGTTTTTGCTATTGAACTCTTTTGGGCATCAAATTAATTATATATCATTTTGTATCAGTGAAAGATTCTTGTGTTACAGAACATACGCTTAATCGATTATGAAAAGCTTATGGATGAGTCAGGACAGAGAGTGGTAGCTTTTGGCAAATATGCTGGAGTTGCAGGGATGGTCAATATACTACATGGGCTTGGTCTCCGGCTCTTGGCTCTTGGTCATCATACACCTTTCATGGTGTGTATTTCCTATTAGATTAAGTAGCCTATAACTTCAATTAAAATTCACATTTGCAAAATTAAGAAAAATAATTTATATTGGCACTCCTTATTTTCTATATTTTCTTTTCTTTACATTGCATAGCACATTGGTCCAGCGCACAATTACCGGAATTCTTCTATGGCAAGACAAGCTATAAGAGATGCTGGCTATGAAATAGCCTTAGGAATGATGCCCAAGTCTGTGGGGCCTCTTACCTTTGTATTCACTGGAAGTGGAAATGTTTCTCAGGGAGGACAGGAGGTTTTTCAGGAACTTCCTCATGAATATGTGCCACCAGAAATGCTTCAGAAAGTTGCTGAACATGGTGGTAAGTAGATTTGTATGGTTAGTTTATTGGTGAATAACAATATGTTGGAGATAAACATATTGAAAAACACTTAGCACAAATATTCTTGTGCATGTGTGCAACTTCTTAACTTTATCAAAATGCATTTTCACAAAAAATCTTTTGTAGTATTTCTATTAGTGCTTCACAAATTGCCATATCAAACGATTGCTATCAATTAAATTGTTTGTGTGTATATTTTATATGGCCTTTAACAGTATACAAAACAAATATATTGTTTTAGATGAAGACCTTCATTTTGTAAATACAATTACACATTATTAACAATTCATCTTTTGTTTCATTTTTAAAGGCAAAAAATGAAGGGAATAAAGGACTTTTACTTTATGATTACTATCTATAATATAAATTGATTACAATGATTACAATGGAATGATGGAATGATATTGATTACAATGGAACTTCATTGTTTTAAGGAACGATAGGCAATATTACCAGAGCAAAACGTATTATTTCTGTCTTCTCTTGAGTTTGTCTTAGGGTTACAAATACTTTTAAACATGGAGCTGTGTGCTACCTAACATATCATCCATTCTGTTTTTACAGTAAAATGTAATAAATTAGAAACCATCAACCTTGTCGCTGTTGAAAAAGAAAATAATTTGCTTGTTAAATTATAGTACTATTTGATATGTCGCATTGTTAGTTTCCCTTCCTACTTCGCAAGACGAGCAAGTATTGCAACAATGCGCCGAAAACCAGTGATTTTTCGATAGAACAACTCTTATTCCCGGGCCCTGGTAACGAAAAATTCGATAAATTTTGTTCCTACATGTAGTAAATTACTTCGTATATCATGTTATTTAGTCAGAATCCGCGTTTTATGGGTTGATATTAAAAATCTATTTACGGTGACCTGTTCGTCCGTTCGTCCGTCCGCGGTCAACGCTAGCGCCTAAAACGTTCAGACGATTTTCTCCAAAACTGATATTCTGCAATCGATTAGAAACGAATATTTTGATTTTGAGGAATTCTTTACATAAAGCCTCAGGAGAATTTCCAAAATAAAAAAAGGTTTTAATTTTCGTATTAAACCGTCCTCAGATAGCGTAAAGAACTCTTTAGAAATGGTAGGGTTTCATTTTCTGTTGATATCTCAGAATATTCGAAAAAGTGTAAAAGTTGTCGTGGATATTGGAAAAGGATATTGTCTCGGCGTCCTACAACTACAATATTGAAGATAGATATTTTTCCCTCGATGGTGTTCAGAGCAGGGCCGGATTTACCTATAAGCCAAACAAGCAGTTGCTTGAAGGCCCCCATTCACCATATATTTTTGTCTGTGAAATAATTGTTAATCAAGTAGTCTACTGTGTAACAAAATGTACAATTT